TCTTTCCCTTCCCTTTTCAAAAAAAGTCAGTTCAAGTCAGTGGACGGTTCTGGGAACTGGTACGCTGGTACATCATTCTTCCTCATCTTTTCCAATTTCTGTCCAAATCTAGGCCCTTCTTTCATACCCATATTTACTCCACACAAACTAAACTGGGAATAGAAATCACTCTTATTCCAAGACTCCTACCAAACTGCCTCTTATGATGCCACAGTTACTAATATGCAAATTAATTTATTGATAAAACTGAAATAATTGTAGGTAATTTGAGACACAAGGGGGATGAGGGAACATCTAATTGGACCAATTTCTGTTGGTGAAAGAGCCAAGGTTTTGAACTACACAGAGCTCTTTGCCAGTTCCAGGAAAGATACAAGTCTGGGACATTGAGTACCTTTCCCAGATATGACAAAGAGCTCTGTGTAGCTCAAAACCTTGGCTTTTTATTGAACCAACTTCTGTTGGTGAAAAGATATTACCTCCCACCCTGTGTCTCGAATATCCTGTGACCTAAATGGCTACAATAATACTGTACCATCTAAAAAGAAAAAAGAAGCAACATTAAAGAACAATTACATACATGCACTGAGTTTATGCAACCTCTCTTAAAGGAACACTTGATAGTATTTATATTTTTCAGAAAAATACATAAATATGAGATCACCAAAATGACCCCAAACAATCAATCCAAAAATAGTTTGGACAATCGTTATGTCCAAAACCATTTACCCGGTAATTCTCTGTCCCAAGAAAAAGTTTGAAGCTTTCACAAGAATAACTTCTGGTTTATGTCAATATATTCAGACTTGTCTATAAACTTCAAACAATATATTCAAACTTCTCATGAAAGTTAATCAGAATTAACTGAAGGTGTGACTTTAAAGAGGATTTCTTAAACACTGAAACACTGTGTACACACACTCATTCTGCTTTAAAGTAGCCTTAATTTTGTTAACTGATTTAAGGACTCTTGAATTTTGAGCTAACCTGAGCACCATAGCTATGATCATCTAACTTCTGTGTAGATGCAGGTTGAAAGGTTTCCAATGACCTAGCTGCTGTGACTTAAGGAGATGGAGTTCCTACAGCAAGGGAAAAAGCCCTTTTCTCCCTACAGTCTCTGTCTACACTATGACTCAGAGTTGCACAGCTATACTGCTATTACAGAGCCCATAGAACAGACAGGGCTGTCCATACTGTGGTTTCATGCACTTTAATTCATTTTAAATTCACACCTTTAGTTAACTGATTAATTTTCTTGAGAGTCCTTATGAAGATAAGCTATTGCTCTATTTAATTCAGGATTACATTTAGTAGTTGCTAGGTATGTGATGGTATAAACAGTTAACTGATGAGCCTAGGCTCACCTTCATGGTTACACAGAGGGCCTCCCTGCCCTGCACTGCTGCCTCTGTATCAGCAGCATGGGGGGAGGAGAGGGAGCAGGTGGGAGCTGGTACTTCCAGGGAGCCACTTTGCCCCCCCTCTCCTGCCCATGCTGCTACCTCTGTACCAGTGCTTGCAAGAAGCTGGCTTTTATAGGCTTTTTAAACCCCTTCCTGCTCTCCTGTGATACAGAGGCAGCAGCATGTGGGGCAGGGGTGTAGGTGGCTGCATGTAAATGCGTAACCACGGTAATTTTCAGCAGTTACACGTTTGCCTGAATACATGCATTTTAACATCTCTAGTAATTACACTGATTTTTTAAATTAAAATTGCCAAGCTGTTCAATGTTCACATATGAACTATGTGCATTACTCCGTATACCTATACCAGGGTTTCTCAAACTTCATTACCCCATGACCTCTTTCTGACAACAAAAATTACTACAGGAGCGGGGTCTACAACCTGAGCCCCACCACCCAGGACTGAAGCCTGCTTCAGTCTTGGGCAGTAGGGCTTGGATTCTGGCCCTAGGTCCTCACATGTCGAGGTCAGCCCTGGTGACTTCATTAAAATGGAGCCGTGATCCAATTTGGTGTCCTTACCCATAGTTTAAAAGCCACTGCTCTATCCATCCATGTGTGTAGTCCCACTGAAATAAACAGCTTCCACTGTTACATATTACTGATCATACCATACATATTTTTGACTATGTCATCAGTCTTGTCATACAATTGCAGCAATGGGAAAGCAACTGTTTAATTATGTACAAAAAATAGTCTACACTTAATATAATACATTGTTCATAAGTGTATAATTTCACTTAATAGGTACACTGACAAGTTGACGAAGTTTAGCTTAATCAATGTGTTTCCACATCTAATACAGTTTAGCTTTTCATAAACAAAATGTTATTTCCAAGAAAAAAGATATAAGCAGCCAAAACATGGGATAACTCCTCAACAACAATGATGAAAAAGAGGGAAGTAATTATGCAAAATACAGATTAAGCTATGATTATGTATTTTATCTGCTCTATCTACTAGACTGAGGTTGGAATACTCCTATCTCACTACAGCAAAGGCCTGTTTTTACTAGCCATTGGAGCATGACAAATTTCTGCCTTTGCAACACACCATTTGTCAATTGATTGACTAGATATTATAAAGGTCTTTTGTCTCCTTGAAACACATTGCTTCTTTGGAGTATACAAACATTAACCTGCCAATCAAACATGAAGTACTATATTCTCCTCTTTTTTGTTTTTTAATGCCCTGTTTTGTGATAATAGCTTCTTCTACTCTCCTGGCCCATTATGGGGCTGATTTGTATTGACTGTCTATTCTGGTTGTAAGCAAGATGAGGCAGAGACCGTTGTCTTCCTCTAATTTTGGTATTAAATCCAGCAGGCTGTGAGCATCCAAGAAACAATTATAAAAAGGTTTTTTTTTTTAAAATCTTTAAAAAATTTACACAAAACAAAAATACTCCACATTACCTACATTTTGGCCATATTTCAATAAAGTCTACATATACTTAGGGACAATTTTCTCTTATGTAAATAGGCACAACTTAGCTGCTTTAAATTTCTTTTTTAATATGGTAATTGGAGTTGTATTTTTATTTTTAAAATAAAAATAGATGCTGACCTGGACTAATAGGTGGCCCAAGTTGGAGAAACATGTGTCATTTTCTTTAATATTATTAATCCGCTTCATTAACTGAAACATTATTTCAACACCTCCTTTGTTAGCAAGTTCATTAAGGAGTACAGCATTTCCAGAAATGAATTTTATTGCTCCCGTGCAATACAGAAAAGCCTCATGATTTGTATGTAGATCTTCAATTCTCAGGATCTCCAACAAAGAATCTAAAAAGAATATGTTTAGAAAGAATAAAAAGACTGACATGTATATTTGAACTACTTCATTCTTCTAAAAGGCAAGCTGCAAAAGAAAACCTGGGTGGGTGGGTTACAGTCTTTATCATACTTTTCTCATCAATGGGTCGGACAGAAAATGGGTGTAATTACTGAATATAACAACACAATACAAGCTTTGTAGAAACAGTGGTCATTAGAGATGTTAATAAACATGTATTTGTGTAAATGTGTAACCTCTGATTTTTAGTGGTTACACGTTTACACACGGGGGGCAGGGGAGAGCAGGTATGCGCCAGGAACCAGCTTGAAACCCAGCTTCCCACTGGTACTTGCTTCTGCCTGCCTCTACCACCCCAGCACTGCTGTTTCTGCAAGAGCCTGATCCCCACAGGAAACAGCTCATCCCTGCTCCCTTTGCCACCTCTGGGTATGTCTACACTACAGCACTAATTCGAACTAACTTAATTCGAATTAGTTAATTCTAACTAAGCTAATTTGAATTAGTGCATCTAGACTAAAAACTAATTCAAATTAGCGTTTTGCTAATTCGAAATAGCATGTCCACATTGAGTGGACCCTGAACCGAAATTAAGGCTGGCCGGAACCAGTGCCGGCAGGGCATCAGGTTAGGACTTAAGAGTGTGGAGCTGCTGCCTCAGGCTAGCCGAGGGCTGTGTTTAAAGGGACCCGACCGCCACCCGGGACAGACAGTTCTCAGGGTTCCCCACTTGCCTGTCTACCTCGATGAGGGACAACAAAGCAGTCCTGTCTTGGACTGCCCTGAGTGCCCGCACTCGGCATATCACAGCACTTAGCCATCAGCCCGGCTGCACTTGCCGCAGGCTGCCATCCGGGGGGGGGGGCAAAAACAGGG